ATATATGATCTAAGAGATATGAACTTTCCATCTAACGGTTGAATTTTTAAAATTCACAATTAATATAAAGTTATTGAGTGGTGTAACACTTAGTTAAAGTTACACCGGTGTCGTTTGAACCCTCCCCTATATATATATATATATATATATATATATAAACTCCACTCTATTATTCCACACCCCCACTTATCTTCTTCGGAGTTTTGAAACTCCTCCCCTAAAAACATTGGTCATGCTCTGTGAATAGATATTTGTTGGGTCACCACTAATATAATGTTTAACAAACTGTTTGAGTCAAAAACATTGGTCATGCTGTCAATGGATATTTGTTGGGTCACCACTAATATAATGTGAAACTATTTGCGTCATTGGAAATGGAAATTTTTACTTTCAAAGACAAAAATAAGAAGTAAGATATGTAATTATTGGTTGAGTAGGTTTGGGAGAGATGTATTTTAAAATATAAAATGTACTAATAATTATTTATTAAAAATTAATAATAAAGAATTATAATAAAATTAAATTTTAGTATAATACAATCTAAAATTACTTAAATCATCAACGGTTTATGTTTTAATTTTATGATTATTATTATATTTTATTTTATAAAATATAATTATCTATTTTTAGACGAGTCAAATATGAGAATACAAACATTATTATAGAGCTTGATAATAAAAAAATATGAAATGAAAAATATTAACGCACTGCCACATTATTGCCTAACTAGCCTAAAATTTATTAACATTATCATATATATATATATATATATATATATTTTGAAAATCTAACCGTTAGATTGAAAGTTCATATCTCTTAGATCATATATGTCAAATTTTATATTAATCTAAGATGATTTGATACTTCATTCTTATAAAACAAAATTGACGTAATATATATATTTTAAAATATATTAAAATATGAACACTTTGATTACTTTCAAGTTGTTGTTCAATTTTAACAAAATTTGACATATATGATTTAAGAGATATGAACTTTCAATCTAACGGTTGGATTTTCAAAATTTACATTTAATATAAAGTTATTGAGCGGTGTAACACTTAGTAAAATTGGATAATAACTTGAAGGTAATCAAAGTGTTACACTACTCAATAACTTTTACTAAGTGTTACACTACTCAATAATTTTATATTAAATGTGAATTTTGTAAATCCAACCGTTAGATTGAAAGCTCATGTCACTTTATTCGTGTATATCAAATTTTGTTAAAATTGGATAATAACTTGAAGGTAATCAAAGTGTTCACATTTTAGTATATTTTGAAATGAATATATTATGTCAATTTTGTTTTATAAAAATGAAGTATCAAATCATCTTGGATTAATATAAAATTTTGTATATATAATCTAAGAGATATGAACTTTTAATTCAACGATTGAGTTTACAAAATTCACAATTAATATAAAATTATTTAGCGATGTAATACTTAATAAAAATTACACCGATATAATTATAACTCCCTCATATATATATATATATAATATTAAGGATCAAACGTGATTGATATGAATATTTTTCCGGTTTTATTTTATATTATTTTCTTGACATAATAAAAATTAATAAAATATTAACAAACATAAAACATATGTATAAAGATTTTTATATTGTTAAATTTTTTATATTGTTTACTTATTTTATATTTCTATTTATCTTAAAATTATTTTTTAATTTTTTTAAACGAAGATCACAGATTGCGAAGTAACAGAAACAATAATTACTCCTATAAGATAATATATGATACCTATTTGCACCTGTAATAATGAGAAAACATGGAGAAAATAGCGCAATAATGTTGATAATGAAGTAAAACACAGCACACGAGTGGGAGCAATAAGAGATAGAGTCAGCGTGCGAACGAAACTGCGAAGACGCGTCGTCGTCGGTTTCAAAATACACTTCCTGCAACTTGCTGCTTCAGTTTGCAATTATTTTTCATTTCTCATTTTTATTTTTATTTTTTATCTTTCATAGTTTTCTTGGTGGCGACCCAGTGGAGTGTTTTGACTTCTCATAGCTTTTTGAGGGTTTCGGTTTAGGGAGCATTTGGGTGGTCAAATCTTGACAAAATTTTGGATCTATGAAGCTTGCTTGGTGGAAACTGTAAAACCCTAATTTTGTTCTTCTGCAGCGCTTATTGTTGTTATCTGTATTTTTCTTTTTTATTCTCTATGGGAACTGGGGATGGAACTGGCGATGCTGATAAGACTGAATGTGGTGAAGGAGTTCAGTGTTTGAAAGGTGAAGCCATGAATGGTGGGGTGGCAATTGCGGATGGGAATTGTGTTACTGAAGAGGGCAAGCCCTTGAAAAATGAAGGCATGAATAATGGGGTGGCAATTGCTGATGGAAATGGTGTTGCTGAAGAGGGTAGGCTCTTGAAAAGTGAACCTGTTTGTAATGGGGTAGCGGTCGCCGAGAAAGGGGACTCTGGTGGAGTTGAATATCTGCGAACTTATAAGAGGCGTAAGAAGTCAAGTTCAAGAGGCAAAGTTCAGGAACAATGCAGAGAAAGCGTGGAAGCTGCAAGTCATGTAGCAGATAAGGTTTCCTCTCCATATTTTTTTGTTTTAATTTCTCAATTTGCGTATGGATTTTCTGTATTTTGTATGTTATTTGCTTACGGTTTTTTAGAATTGTTTGAGGGGTATTCTGCTAGGCTTTTAGTTTTATGTTGACGTAATTGGTGAAACCTAAAAATGTGTTCAGGTTGCCACTTAGAGTGTGTTTTTGAATGAGTTATGTTCAACATAACCTACGATTAATCCAATGGGACAAAAGAGTTACTGCGGCGTTTTGTGCATTGGAATGAGTAAATGTTTGTTTAACACCTTCCAAATGATAAACCAAACACACACACTCTTAGCTTGTAAGATATACTCTGTGCCTACAACTAGTGATTGTGGTTAGTTTTCAAAGGGATGTGCTTGTTTTTGTGGGTGTGCATTAGCAATTATTTATAGTTGTTTTAGTCCGAAACAGGGAAACATATGTGACTATGAAGAAATATTATCCTTTAGTTATTTGGAGCTGTGTTTGGTCACTTATTCTTTAAGCACACACATATCCTTTAACTGTGTGTTAAGATATTAGGTTTTAGGTTTTTGGTTACTTGCAGTGACTTATAGATCAGGTAATATTTATAAAGCTGCAATTGATATAAAATGGAAAATATCAGCTGAAAAAAATGCTAAATGTCCAATTAGAAGTCAATATGATTTACATATTTGCTTTTTCATTGGTGCTCTTATTTTCTAGATGGTTTGTGTAGTTATTTGTAGAGTTATAGTCTCATTTATGTATCTTTTAGTGTACTATTTCTGCTTATAAAGTTGAGCTAGCTAAGTAGATGAGATGCATTTGATTGACATTTTGGTATTTTTAGGTGAGGTGACTGAGTTAAATCTATGAATTAAATGACAACATAATTATGGGAACATCTATACACACAAATTCTGGGTCATTAGTTTTATTTTCATTTTTGTTATTACTGTTTTGTTTTATAAGAGTAGAAAATAATGTACCTATGCTGTTATAGTTAAATTTTATTATGTTCATAAATGGAGTTAAGTTGCAACTTTGGATAAGTATATGTCAAAGTTCGGACACATCGGAAAGGATTTACAAGAACATATTGATCATGGACCATCCATGGAAACTTTGATGGCAAAAGGAGACTAATTTACTGACTTTGCTTTATTTGTGTTAGGCATAGCTATGATAAGATCCTCCTGTATTCACACATTTATTCTGTATATAAATGGATCGGCCTAGTTGCAACGTATGTGATATATATTATTTGAAATGCTGGGAATACAAGTTACTTTGACAAATTGATAGTTGATTATGTTGAAATTTGGTCGCATGAGGGGCTAAATTGCTTGGTTTATATAAGGAATGCCACAACTGTTAATGATATTATTGATGATAAGATAACATTCAGGTTAAGTATAAAATGGTACCATATTGATGTGTATAAGATATTTAATTCAAGGGTTGAGATGCTAAAAACTGTACGGTAGGAAACATGGTGATAAATTGTCTTCCTTTTTCATCATAGTTCAGTATTAATAATTAATGATTTCTTCTATTTTATAAAAATCATGCTGATGGGGTCCTACTTTTTTTGTACATTACAAGAAAGCATGGGACGATTGTCACCCTGGAAGATAAATGTTCTGAAGCACAATAAATATTGTTTCTTGTTTATATCTTCAATGCTGCATTCTGATTTTTTTTTAATTGCAGGTTGTGAAGAAACCGTGTGATGTAGCTTTAGGCAATATTTCAGGTGATTGTTCCCTTGGACAGTGGGGAAATATTGTACTAAAGCATTTATATCAGTCATTAGGTGATGGCAATGGCGGCATAGAGGGGTGCATAAGGGAAGCACTTAAGCATCATCCTAAACTTAATCATACCACTTCAGTTTCGGTTGGTTCTTCGGCTAGAATTATATAAATCCTGCTTAACTTAATTTTTTTTTGGTTTCTTTTATTTTATGTTACATCTTTTTTTGTTTGCAGAAAACTTTTCAAATTGACAAAGATGGAGAAGAATGCTATTCGCAATTTATGCATCTTTGTCATAGAACAGGGAATGAAGCTAATGGGCATGCAGATGTTATGTGTAATGGACGTTCTAGTGACTCACCTGGCCATGGTGTGACTGAGATGTGTCAGCGTGTGCTCAGTAATATCTTAACTTCAGAAAAATTCAGTTCATTATGTAAGGCTTTACTTGAAAATTTCCAGGGGGTGAAGCCTGAAAGTGTATTTGACTTTACTGTCATGAACTCAAGGATGAAGGAGCAAGCTTATGAACAATCACCAACACTCTTCTTGTCAGATATTCAGCAGGTAAATTTAAGTAGTCACTTTTTAATAGAACAATTTCTATATGATGCTTGATACAATTTGAAAATTGTAGATGGTTGAATATTTGTTTTACCTAGAATCATGATGTCAGGGCCTCAAGTCTTATAGCTGATGTATAATCTTGCTCTTATTTGTAGATAATATAATTAATGAAAATTCAATGTTGAATGCTTTATTCATCAAATGTTTGAGTTTGATTAGCTCTTAACTCTCCCTTGAACATATGCTCTCTTTGGACAGAGACAGGGTTGTTTTATCCCTTACAAAATGGGCAAACAATTTCATATTTTAATGTAATTATTTATTTGTAAAATCTTTGCAGTGTCAGGTTGCTTTGTTTAGATTTTGAAAATTTCATACACACACACTATAAAAAAAGAGGCAGTGGGTGGGTTGTGCATGCAGGTACATGTGCATAGTTGGCAAAATGATATTAGTTATTTTTGATGGGTTGCACTTGCTTTTGCACCCTCTAGTGCTTCCAAGTATCCACTCCCGGGTTTCTTGATCTTGTTTTAAGTTGATTGAGTGGGCTGTGTGTGGAAGTTCATCTGCAGAGTTGGGCACTAGTGACATCTTATCGTGTTTTCCACATAACTATCTGTTCATGAACATTTTTCTTGTGCTTCTTTGTCTCCTCTGTTTTGCACTATATGAACTTGATATTTTTTGTTTGTCCCTTAAAGTATTTAATTTTGAAAATTTCTTCAACTACATTCCTAAATGTCATTCTTGGTTTACTAGATGTTCTCAGCTCTTGTAAAAATGAAATATACACAAACCTAGAACCTTACAATAATAAAGTCAAATGTTACCTCTGATAACTGCCACACTAAGAATTCAAATTTTTGTACTACTTCTTGGTGATAATTTCCTTTTCCTATTGGCTACCTTGATCAATTAATGCCACCCATCTCTAGCAAAAAACCAAAATTTCAGTAGAACCATATTCACCAATGTCCATTTTAATGGGTTGTCTTAAAGTTTTCTAATTGGCAATATTAGAGCCCCCAACCAATTACCGTAGATATGCTAGGTAAGGAAGTAGGGGATTCAACAAGCCCCTGGATTTCAGGAGGAATGTGACAAAGGATAACCACCTGCAAGTGGCAAATGATATGAACTATGAAGTAAGGGCTAGTTAGGAGTTAGGACTTAGGATCAGAAGGGGAATATAACTGGCGAAAGTGGGGAGAAGGGGGCTGGGGGAGGAAAGAAGTGAGGAAAAGACTGGGAGAGAAATATGCTTCTTGAACTGACTGGGGTACTGCATTTCTTTTTCCTTATCTAGGGTCAATTCATACCAGTATCTTTAGACCAACCTCTGTTATTTGTATCCTACTGAATCAATAGCAAATTTACAATACAGTGACTGCATAATAAACATATTTAGTTTACTCTGTTTCTTTTTTATCAGTGTCTTAGTCTCTTAGATATTCATGTATGCTTTTTAACTGTGCTATTTTGATTTGGCCCGTTTTCCTCACTGGAATCTTTATTGGTATTCTCTTAGGCAAGTTTTTATGATCTTGATAGGTACCAACCGACATTCTGCCAAATACATTCTTTCTTGATGTTGTTTTTTCTTGAATGTTCATGCATCCACCTTGCCATTCTCATCTCTGTTATACTATTTTTCTTGCTTTTGTTGGTACTTCACTGCCCAACATTAGCTTCCATGTGTCACTTTTTTCTTAGGTGAAATATTCCAGAGTTAGTGCACTCATTTAGCAGATCCTTGTCTGCCCCCTTTTTCCCTTTCTACTAATAGTATTTGGTTTGGGAAAAAATTCAGTAGTTCTTAATCTTCCCAATGATTATATTCTATTTTGTAATTTTTTTAGCTTGCTACTACTCAATATTTTAGAAATAGTTTTTTTTATTTTATTTATTAATCTTTTGAGCACCCTGTTTCCTCCTGTTTTGAGCTGTGGTCTGTGGCTACATGCGGAGAACTCTGCCAAAAATCTATCTAATTAGGATTTGTTTGGCATATTCAATTGTATAACCAATAACCATTGAACAAACTAACCTTGTTAGTTCCTGGTTCTTATTTTGTATTACTTATTTATACTTTTAGGTTTGGAGAAAGCTTCAAGACACTGGTAATGAGATTGTTGCCCTTGCCAAGAGCCTCTCCAACATGTCAAGAACTTCGTACTCTGAGCTGGTAATAATTTTCTTCTTCAAAGCTCTTAAGTTTCATGGTTTCTTTTGCTTACGGATTTTATTTTCTTTCTATGTATTTTGCCACTATTTGCTTTCCTTTTATGCAAACCTAATTTTTCTTGACCTTTAGGTGGGAATTCCATCACAGAGCACATTTCAAGATGAAAAGCAAGTGGTAAGAGTTTTAAAAATTTTGCTTGATGTTTTACGAGATCATCATGAATGTCAGATCTGCTTTAACATATGTTCAAAATTTAGATAAGTTTTTCTCTAGCATCACGTCTAAGGAAGCAGTTACAGAGTCATAGACACTATTGTTTTTGTTAGGATATAGTAAGCTACAGTTTGTTTGGTGCTACTGTAGACTATATATTGGGGAGGTATCTATCGTCTGATATTTTGAGAAAAGATGAAATAATACTTACTGTAAATGCAATCCATCTTCCCTTTTGATGGCTGGGAATCAGAGAGGTATAGCTATGTATCGAATTCAAAAAGAATTATGAAAGAAAAGTTAAAGAAGAAAATTGCCACATGCCATTCACGATTTGTTGATTCTTAATAAGCCATGGCCAGAAGATTAACAACATAGACCAAAATCATATCTTTCCGTTTTGCTTGGTTTCATTTCATTGTAGCTGTAACTCTTAGGAGGTGTTTGTTTCATGGATTACAAGTTCACTCCTAGGAATTGTATTTCCAGGAATATTTTAATTAGAATGTTTCTTCTTGTGCATATTTAGAAAATGTGTCTGGTTTCCTAATATTCCTTGGAATATTTTTAAAATTGAAAATAATTTAAATAAAAAATAAAAAAAAAGGAACTTACAAGTGTGTTAAAACATAACTTCTCACATTCCCATGGGAATATCATTTCCCCACCCCCTCAACATGGAAATAAAAATGTAGAAAATATGGTAGGCAAACTTTCCAGGGAATGAATAATATCTGAGAATAATTTTTCAAAACTTGTAACAAATATAGGATTGTTATATTCTCATGCTTACATTCCCAAGAATGAACTTGTAATTCGTGAAACAAATGCCTCTTTAGATGTGGGGTTTCTATGTCTCTGGCCCTTAGCTTTGTTTCTCTGTTTCGCTATATATTGGAAACTGTGTTTTTGACCTAAAAAATCTTATTTTCCTCTGTTTGACCAAGAGACTTTTACAATCCCGAGTTGACAACCCAGGGAAAAAAAAAAAGAAATAGATCAAGAGAGGGTCCGAATGAAAAGAGATAATTGATATTACTATCACTAGGTATTTTACAACCTTACTTGGGAATGCCCTTTACAACTGAGAATTCAGTTCTGCATACCCTCTTTCTGCCTACCTACCCTCATAGGCTTCCCCTATTTATTACTGTTACCTCCACTAATTAATTACCATAACAAACTAATCCTTCTAACTGCCCAGGCTGATTAATTTCTTTTATTCTTTCTTCTTCCTAATATACTCTTTCAAGTTTCTATCCCCTAGCCTGTCTGTACTACACTACTACTAACAATGAGACACATGGAATGCATTACTGTTTCCTATGGCATTTAAGGATTTGCTAGAATAAGACAGGAAGTGGACTTGTTTGTTCTTGTAAGATTTTTCTGTCTGAAAGTCCTGTATGTAATCTTGCTAGATTTTTCAAACTTTTGCTATCAATGATGCACAGAATGTCAGTTGAAAATCCTTGCCATGTATCAGTACTAATTTTATTTGGTATGATTAGGGTTTTGCTTGAGATATTTATTAAAATGGTCTTGTGATTTTTTTTTTGTCATGTCAAACAGCTCTACAACCGGGAATTTGACTATTACATGAAACCAGAACAGACAGAAGAATGTGCTGTGTACAAAATTTGCAGTTGCAGGCGTTGTGGAGAGAAGGCAGATGGCACAGACCGTCTGGTCTGTGATTCATGTGAGGAGATATATCATGTGTCCTGTATCGAGCCTGCAGTGAAAGAAATACCCCACAAAAGCTGGTATTGTGCCAATTGTACTGCTAAGGGGATTGGTTCTCCACATGAGAATTGTGTCTTATGTGAAAGGTTAAATGATTCAGAGACCCCGAATGACGTAATTGGTGATGAAAGCTTTCCAACAGTTGAGGAAACCCAAAATGAATTTGAAGATAATTCAAATTGCACCTCTGATGGGATTCAAGTTTCCATTGGTGAGAAAAAAACACCCAATTGCAAAATATGTGGAAATGAAGTGGATGATGGAAAAACAAAAGTATGTGGCCATCGGTTTTGCTCCAATAAATACTATCATGTAAGGTGTTTAACAAGTAAGCAGTTAAAGTCATATGGTCACTGTTGGTACTGCCCTTCTTGTTTATGCCGGGTTTGCTTAATTGATCAAGATGATGATCAGATTGTTCTCTGCGATGGCTGTGATCATGCATATCACATCTATTGCATGAAACCTTCTCGAACTTCTATTCCAAGAGGGAAATGGTTCTGCAGAAAATGTGATGCTGGAATACAAGCAATCCGCCAGGCTAAAAGGGTATATGAGAGCAACAACCCAAGAAGAAATGGTGAAGATGTTGCAAAATCAACTGCTAATCTTGAAAAGAAACACAACAATAAACGTGCACGAGAATTGGAAAGAGGTGGAGCTATGGACATGCTTTTAACTGCAGCCAATACTCTGAATTTTGAGGAGAAAGAGGCAGCACTCCAGATTGAGTCACAGAGAACATGAATATTCTGGAGGGCTCTGTTAACCTTCCAGTTATTTTTAGTAATGGCTTTAACTTTGTTGACTGTTAATACACTATTTTACATTTGCTGCATTTTTTGAATGACTGATTTTGGTAGGCTGTAAAACTGCTGTAGTTTTCCTGACTTTTGGATACGTCACATGGAAAGACATGACTATAGAGGCTAAAGAGCAAAAGGCATAATCTGAAACTGCTGTAAGTTCCATCTGTGAGAGTAAGCAGCAGGTCAGATACTGTAGTATAGACATGGTTGATATGAAATTTAATTGACTGTTTTGCTTGCTTCACTCAGAATACTGTATTTTGGGGTTGGGATGTTGTAAGCCAATGCTTCCCAAGATTTGTATAATCAAATGTCTATTACGTTTGAAAATCAAAAGAAAGAAGTTTTTTTTTTTTTTTTTTTCCATCGTTTAGAATTAAATATTTCACTACCATTTCTGTATAAAGCTTGTTCTGCATTGCTGGTCAAAGATCTTGCTTTTAGTACTTGTTTCTTTTTGGGAGTTCAGAATGTGCTGGTAAATAGTTGCTGCCCAGAAGTTTGCATTTTAGGCCCTGTTTGACAGCTTTCTAGCTTATAAAAGCTTTTCATTTTCAATTGAGATTTCTAACTTACAAATTTGCCCTTGGAAATTTATTGGCTTTTATAGACAAGTTAGGCAAAAATCTTTAAAAAATGTTGAAGTGCATTGGTTGATATTAATTTATTAGAGACGTTTGAGTCATTTTATTTGTTTAATTTAAATTTTTTGTTCTTTTTTAAGTATTTATAAGAATATATTTGAACGCTTCTTAAATGTTCAAGTATCAAACCCTTGGGTGCGGTTGATAATACTCCCTCCGTTTTTTATTCATAGTCATTTAAGATTTTGCACGGGACTTAAGAAAATGATTGAAATTTTAATTTTCAAAAATATTTATTACTTACTTTCCTTTTCTACCCTCTATTTTTTTTTATAGTATTTCATTGGAAACATATTATCCTTTTAAATACAACATTAATTTCACATAAGTGGTTAGAGAAAAAATAGGTAGATATTAGAAATAAATAGACACAATGTTCAGTAAACATATATTAATTATTAAGGGGTAAAAATGAGAAAAAAAATTAATAAGTCATTGATTTTAGCAAAATGACAATGAAAAAAAAATGATAAATTCTGACAAAACGACTATGAATAAAAAATGGAGGGAAAACGTCGTGAATTTTCATTTTGGATTTGGTAGGAGCTGCAAGCATAAATTTAGTGTTTGGTTGTAAAACGGTTGCAATTTTTCAATGAACTATTCATCAACATGCGACTGTGTAATACCACTGTCTCCGTTTACACAACCAAACCCTAATAAACTCCTCACTCTATCTCTTTTTAATAATTTTTATACTTAAATATGTTTAGTTTTTTAAATTTAAAATAAATTTATTTTTAATTTTTCACATTCGAAATTAATCTTTTTAGTCTTTATAATTTTAAAAAGTCTTGATTTAATTTTTATACTTAAATTTTGTTAAGGAATTTGTTAAATACTATTTTATAAAATTTATCTATTGATGTTTCTGTTAGTTAAAATATCACATTAAACTCAACTGATAGTGTATAATTGTTTTAATTTGTCACTTTTAAATATATTATTAGTGATCTGAGAGATTAAAACAAAATTTTTAAAAATTATAGAGACTAAAAATAATAGTTTTAAATTTGAGAGGTTAAAAATAAATCTATCCTAAATTTAAGGGTCTCAAAACATATTTAAGACTATTTTCTATTATTAAGTCAAATAATATATTTTTTTAAAATTTATTTGAATTGTGACAAATAGGAAGAGGAAAGTATAGGAATGAATAATTAAGGGTGTCTTGTTTAGAAAATATTTTTATTTTTATTTTTTAATTTTAAAATTTAGAAAACATGTTTGGTTCGACTATTTTTAATAAAATTTTATAAAATGTTTTTTGTATAAAATTTATAATCAAAATTAATCTCTCTATATGAATTATAATAATATTTTAGTTTGCAAATATTTTACTTTTTATATATTATATTTTATATTTATTCTCATTTGAATATTCTCCTTTCATAATAGGTGGGATTTCACTTTGAAAACGTATAAATATCTCTTATATTTTTTGTATCAAATGAATAATTTATTATCTAACAAGTAACAATTGTATATCAAAATGAAATATATATTTTATCTTTATAAATAATATATATATATATATATATAATTGATATTACTTATCTTAAAATATAATAACTAAAATTTAATCACACTAAATATTAGTCAAATTTAATAAATAATATTTAATTAAAATAATTAAACAATATAAACAACATATGTAATTAAAATTCTATACAATAATTATATCTAATAAATCTTATAAAACTTTTCTACACACAAAAGAAAATATAAGACAAATCAATTAAATTATATAAAAAAATCAAGTCTATTGAATTAAGTGCGTAAGACTACAAGTTTAGAAATAAGTTCGTAAAAAAATTTAATAATTACAATCACATGACACCACAATTTTAAAAGTGCAAAAATAATGAAAATGACATTTTTTTTCATTTTTAATTTTAGTTTTAAAAAAAAATATTTTTTTAAAATTATTTTCTAAAATTAAAAGTAAACACATTTTTAATTTTTTTTTGTTTAAAAATGAAAATAGAAAACGACAAAATGAAACGTGTTCCTGACATTTTCTCTTTCCAATATAATCTTTTATTTCATAAGGTTTTGGATAAAACAAAAACTCATATCCAAATATTCCTTTTCGGGGAGAGTGAGTTGAAAGAAAACTAGCGATGTTCCTCTTTTTTCGATTGAAGTCTTTCTTTGAGAAGATTTTTAATTAAGCAGGGGTTAGGTATGGTAATCTAATCCGTTGAACTCACCCGATTTGGACGAAAAAACTCGTATTTATCGGGTTTGAATTTTTTTGGATTGATAAAATTGGAGACGAGTGGGGACGAGGATGTTAATACCCACTCCATCATTGTTCCCATATCCAGTGCTGTCCCACCCTGCTTAATAATATAATTAAAAAATTATTTATATATATATATAAACTAAAATTAGAAATATTTATATGTAAAAATTTATATTATTTTATTTTTCTTTTATTTTTTAAAAATTGTTCATATTTATTTAAAAAAAAAGAGAAAAAGAAAAAAAAAAGAAGGGGGCATGGGCGGGGCGGAGACACTCCAACCTCGCCGGAGACGAAAATGAAAATCCAGATTTTATTCCCAATGCTGAGGCGGGATGATTTAAATTGGCAATGTTTAAAGATATTTCATCTTGTGATTTAAAGCTTGTTTCCTCCTTGTCATCCTCAACCCAATCATCATGTCCATCATAAGATCTTACGTGTTCCATCATTCAAACCACCTACTTAAATCAAATCATTTGTTCCATGTTTGAATCTCCAGTCACTTTTGAAAGTAAAAGGCCTGTAGTGTAGTTATGGTAAAAATAAATAAATAAATAAATAAAGAAATCAACCTGTCTGACAATTATAATATTGTGAATTGATAAACACAAATTAATTCCAATAAAATAGCACGTGAAAGAGTTATTTAGTCTCTGCTAGTGTACACTCTCTCTAGATCTATATAAAAGTATATAAAAGTAAAGTTAACAAATTTTATATAGATTAAGGAAGATGATGTATACATTTATTTTTTACAATTTCGTATAAAAATATATGATACATTTATTAAAATATTTTTATCACATTTATCGTAGAAAATATTTTTATTTATTATCTTATGAATATTTTTAGATTAACGACATTAAATAAAATTATGTTAATAAAAATTTACTGAAATATTTAAGAATTTTTCTGTTTATATATGTGTCTAGAATATGACAATAGAAAAAATACATTTCAAAATAAATGACTTTGTGTGATTTGACAAGAAAAAATATTTTGACAATCATTGCGAAAAGCCGAAAAGAACCCTTCATGCTCCAAATGAATATTATTCCTTATGAAATGTTTCATTCATGGAGTATGGTCTATTCTTTGGATCAAATATTTGAAATAATGAAAACACCGCAATCAATTCTTGTTTCAGTTTTTCCCTTGCACTTCTTACCCTTCATTTTAATTAAGTAATCAAGCCAATACAGAAATATTTCACAATTTGCTTGCTCTCGTTCTAATTGACTAAATACTATTTAATTCAACAAACCTTTCAAATACGTCACCAATTTCAATAATTATTTTGTCTTTGCTTAAACTTTTTGACTCAAATTGTTGCCACTAAATTGATGTCAAACCAAATTCGAAAGACCTTAAATATTGCTACTAAAAAATTATTTAAGATATTTCAAATCTAGTTTGCTATACATATAAGTTGATGACCTTTTTTTATTTTTTATTTTTTATTTGTTAGGCATTTAAGTTAGCTTTCAATTTCGGCCAAAATGATAAATGCTTAGCTTCAAGTTTTGGAGTATAGGACTATAAGTTGGCACTAAACGTCAACTTTCGCATTTAAGCTTTTCCTTTTGACACTCAAATACAATATTTATACCACTGAAACATAAATGAAAAAAAAAAAAAAAAACTCCATAGCATTATTGATCTTAAACATAAAATGGAAAACCAATAACAACTTAATAATATGACGATCACTTGGTCTAGTGACGAATTATTCAACATATTAAAACATTACATTTTCCTACAACATCTTGACACAAGCATGGCAACTAGCTATAGTGGCCTGAGTCTAAGGCAGTGCTATGCAAAACAATGGTCTCCATGGTCAATCCAGGGCCAAACCCATATAAAACACCCCACTGTAGTCCTTCACCAGTGGTGGATTTTCCTTCCTTAATGGACCACCTTCTCATCTCGTCTAGTATAAAGAAGACACAAGCACTTGACATGTTTCCGTACTCACTTAGGACATGTTTAGATGCTCTCATTTTATCAGCGTTTAACCCAAGTGTTGCCTCTATTTCCTTCAAGATTGTAGGGCCACCGGGGTGGGTTACCCAAAACAACGAGTTCCAATCACTAATTCCAAGTGGTTGAAAGGTTTCTTCGAGGCTTTTTCCTATGTTCTCTGCGATCATCTGAGGAACATTTTTCTTGAGACTTAATGTGAGTCCCAGTTCTCGCAAGTGTCCCTCAATTGCACCCTCAGTGTTGGGTAGAATTGTTTGTGATGCCGAAACAAGGTGAAACAGTGGTTGCTCAATGGACGTGTCAGGGTCGGATCCAACGATCACGGATGAGGCACCATCACCAAAGAGAGCTTGTCCCACCAACATGTCCAAGTGTTTTTCTGAGGGTCCACGAAATGTGCTGACTACAATCTCAGAACATACCACCAGAACGCGTGCTCCAGCATTGTTCTCAGCAAGGTCTTTAGCGAGACGAAGCACAGTTCCACCAGCAAAGCAACCTTGATGGTATAACATGAACCTTTTGATGGATGGCTTGAGACCTAAGAGCTTCACAAGTTGATAATCCGCACCAGGCATGTCTACACCTGCCATGGAGCAAAATATGAGGTGAGTGATATCTGACTTGGGTCTGCCCCATTCCTTGATGGCTTTTGATGCTGCCTTCTCGCCAAGCTTTGGAACCTCCTCAACTAGTATGTCTTGGCAAGAATCCAAGGATGGTTCCTTATAAGTGCTTATAGTGGAGTTTTCTTTCAACATTTCTTCGCTCAGGTGCATGTGACGTTTCTTTATCATCGAATTCGCACCTGTTGTGGCCCAAATAAGCTTGTGTTATTACAAGGTTTATTTTAAATCTAAATATAGCTCAAGACATTTGTTAGTTAACACACAACATCAAAATGAATCAATGATAGTTACACAACTATTTTAATTTGTCCTTATTTCTGATACTATAAGTGGTCTCAAAGATTTAAAACATTTTTTTTTTAATTATAGAATCTAAAAAATAATTTTAAATATGAGAGATAAAAATAAATTTACTTTAAAAAAATATAAATATTTTTAACTCTGCAAATAATATTTGTGTATGGAGCATTTGTTTCAAGGAAGGATATTATATTTTTGGGAATCATATTTCTAAGAATAATATAACTCATAATGTTATTCTAAGGAATATAAGAAAAAGTGTTTGGTTCATTTAAATATTTCTTAGAATACTTTCAAAAATTTAAAATAATTTAAATAAAAATGAAAGTTATAAAGGTTATAGAAAATAACTTCTAATATTTCTATGAGAATATCACTTATGCACCCTTCCATCATGAGAATAAAACTTCTTTATTTATGGGAATATCACTTTTCCAAGAATAAAAGATATCTAGGAATGTTATTATATGACCTTCTAACAAACGTGAGAATAAATATTCTCCCCTTTCATGTTTCTGAAAATATATAAAGTTAATCCGAAACAAATGTCTCTTATATATTCAAGCCATTTATATATGTTTTTCTTAATCTTTTTATTTCGTTCCCTTTAATTGAAAAATGGCACGTTGATTAAAACAAAATAACACTCTTTATGTTGATTTTTTTTTTCTTCTAATGCGATATTATTTTTGAATCAAAAGGACATTCAAGGGGAATTCACTTGTGTGTATATAATCACCGGCAATCCACATGAATACTTAATTAATTAGGTTAAAAGATAAATTCATATGATATATTTAAATATTCATCTTCAAACAACTCGTATTCTTAATAATTTATGCACTTGTGTGGTCCAAAGCAATTTAGAACACACACCTCTGACATTTTAATGTATGCATGAAGTTACTTGAATATAAGTAAATTTTCAAAAATTTCATATACAAACGTGTATATATACATATTAAAGCATATCCTAGTTAAAAGGTGTAAGATGCAGACAGAATGAGACGATAAATATTGAGATGGTGCATGAATTTATAGATAAAAATATCCTAGTTAAGCTTACATATGCGATCGAACTTGGCCTTAAGTTGAGTCATGTGTTGGCTCTTGGTCATTCCGAAGAAGTAATCGGAAAAGTGAGATTGGTAAATGTAGTTGGGTGGATTTGCGGTACCAATGGCTAGTATGGTGGCTGGACCACGAGCTCTTTGTTTCTCATGTATTTCCTGCAAGTATGCCATTTCGTCCGGGAACCTAATCTAAAACACAAGCAAGGGAATTATTTTTGATCGATAGTCATGGTCTACACCAAATTCCCCTAGTACCTATTTATAGTGGGTTTGCCTTATATTAAAGTATATTTTCATTAATATATATTGTTTAAGTAATTTTTTTATAAGTAAAATTGTAGATAAGGAATCATATCTATATGACTATGGAGTTAATAACATGTTAGAAGATTTTTAGACCAAACATTACTGTTCACTCAGTAGTTAATCGAAGTTCAATAATATTTAATTTGACTTAAAAGTTAAAACTTGTCAAATTGAGAATCAACATAAACTTATTGAAAGAATTTTACCTTGCTTTAAAGGGATCTTTTGAGTAAGTATACCCACTAAAATAGGATTTTAATAGTTTAGAGAATGTTGAACTCACGTCATAGAAAACACTAACTCAAACTAGATTCTAGACCATTTGTGTCAACTTATGATATAATTTAATTAATTTAATATTTTTTTTTTATAAAACCACTTGTTCATAAAAAAAGTTTTGAAATCATTTGTGTCTAAATGGTACACTTCGTCCTTTCGTATGCACTGGGTGTTATGATTATGTTATTGATATTTTGTGTAATAGGGGATATATATTATCAAGAAGAGGGTTATATCTTGTTATTTTTATCGGGTTATTTGCACACACAACTCTACAATGGTAAGATATTATTTACTTTGAACTTAAGCTATCATGGTTTTGCTTGTGGTCATTACCAAAAAGACTTCTCAAAACCAATGAAGTATGTGTGTGTTTTATACTCTTATTTTTCTTCTTATTCTGACCTTACCTCTCATTCAATGAAATATTTCTATTGCATTTTTGTTATAGTTTTTATGTTATTGGTTATGGGGTTATTGGTTGTCACCGAATCCAACTAGCGACTTTGATACTATTGTTAGAGAGTATTTTTTGAACTTACTTAAGAAGATATATTTATATCAAGAGAAGAATGTTATTTCTTTTATTGTTTTTATCAAGTTATTTCAGACACATCTTTATAATGATAAGACATTTTTCGCTTTGGATTTAAGGGTTCACGATTTTGCTTTTGATCATCATCATAAGATCTCTTAATCAATGAAGTATGTGTATGCTTTATAAATTCTTAATTTTCTCTTATTTTATAGATGTGGGATCTTAATTGTATTCCGATATATGGTGCATGTAACATTCTTTTACACACTGACATCATACGAATAGATATTATTCTTAAATTAAAACTATCCTAAAAGTTTGTTTCCAAAAGATTAATTGATATTATTTACATAAAAATTAGAAAATATTTTATATTATTATTTAATTATTTATATATTACTATTAGAAAGTAAAAAAAAAAAACTCAAATGTGAATTGTCAATATTAAATTTTATAAACATTCACTTTACACAATATAGAGAAGGATTATGACACCCTCTACCCCACATACATAATTACATAATAAATAGAAATAATTAGAATCTTTCATAAATAAAACAAAAATCTCAAATATCATACGTAGAGGATTCACATTAATAAACTCATAAATAATATCTCCAATGCAAAAATTATAAAGGAAAGAAATTGATGTTTTCAAAATAGTTCAATGAAAACAACATCCTAAATTAATTCTAACTACATCCTGAAGTCACATATCCTATCAAAGTACGTACAACTGAAGCCTAAACTTCATCACCAACATCCTCATGCTGATGGTCATCTGCAACATAGTAGAAGACACACATAGAACAAACAAGGGAGTGAGAAATATCTCACTCAGGTCAGGTGTAGAAATGACGGTTAAGCAACACACAAATAAATCAATGAAATCACAACAAACACAGACATTGCTACACATTAATCAAGTACAAATTCAAGTTACACATACAACTGTAACACATACGCAGTCATTCATCATGTAATGATGTCATGGACTCGACTATAGATGAATGCATGTGGCGCCAGTCACATATCACATATCATATATCATTGGTGTGCTGCCTAAACAACACATCTAAGGTAGTTTAGGAGTACATGTAGGGAGCTACCCATACACTCTTAACTAGAAGGATGTACTGCTAGGGTCGAGTTAAGATAACAAAGCTGTGCAAGTTACGTCTTGTGCTCACAAACGGACGCAATTGAGACATCCAAATTGCACTATCCCCTAGGACTTTCCCATGCTATTACACAAGAAGGGTCTTCCCTAACGGTGTACTCCACATTGTACCCATCACATAGATGCACATGATGCATGTCACACATTCACACTTTATTGACTCAACATTTCACTTATCACATCATATGATGTTTTATGTCATTTATTCACATATCGCATTTCTCATAGTCATATTCATAAGGTCACGCACATAGGGATCCTCTTCATCATAACATTCATAAGAGCACATAATTCAAATCAAATCAGTACAAGACAGTTCACATCTAATTTGTACCTCCAAACACACAAGAAACATGTAGACATTAGTAGGGGTCACGCTCGGTGCGTCCCAACTCGCGCCTGGCGAATTAGATGCTTCACCAAAAGCGGAGTAGCACGCCTAGCACGCCCTGAGTGCGCCAAATGAATTTATTGCCACGCCTAAAGCAGAGAAATTCGTTCGACCCAGCTTCACACGCGCTTGGTGTGACTTTCCTACGCCCAACGCAACTTTCCTAAGCCTAACTCAATTTTCTTGGGAAACTATTAATTTGTGTTCGGTGGGAAGAACTGCGCCCGACGCCCTCAGTGCGAACCTACACTTCACAATCAGATGATTTTTCACAACAAATATACCCAATTTTACATAAAATACCTCATTTCTCATCAACATATCATATTCCTAATTGTTCCTCATAGGGTTTCCCCCAAAATCCACAGAGCACTCTAATTCACATCAAAACTTATCTATTTTGAATTAAACACATATTCACACATCACACCCAACAACGATCACAAAAGAAAACTCATACATCAAAACATAAAATATTCATATTTTGCCTATTCCTAGAAGCATGCATAGGCAAGGGATTAGGGGTCAATCCTGCTATCCAACAGATATTTTCACACCCTGAGCGAGGTTTCTCACTCTCCTTACCTTGATGAGCAGAAAATAAAGCGCGTACGATTCCTTGGTGATCTCCTCCTCCTGGTTCTCTTGAGTTTTCAGAGAGCGTAGATGGAATGAGAAATGAGTAAGAAATGTGAAATAAAAACTCCTGACAACTCCCTTAACTTCTGATAACTTTTATCTCTTAAAAAATATAATAATACTAATACTATTTAATAATTTACCAAAACATCCTTCCTTCCCTTATCATAAAATAATTAATACAATATATAATTGAACATACTCTTTTCCTTAAATCAAATAAAATAAACATATATGTCAATAAAAAACCTCTTGCATCACTAATAAAAATAATTACAAAATCATGTCTCGTGCATAAAATATAACTTATATAATCATTTAAATAATGTTAAAACTCTAAAATAAATAAGTCAAATATCAAATAATTTCTAAAATATTATTATTATTATTATTATTATAAAGTGTGAAACCGAGATGTTACAAGGATCTATTTATTCTAAGAATTTTTTTTGTTAGGGTTACTTAGCTCAATAATTCAAATTTTACATGAAATTTAAACGATTTAACTGTTGAATTTAATAATTGGATCATTGTTTTGGTATATCATATGATTTTCAATTTTTTTAAATGTATAAATTTAATCTATATATTAAAAACTTTTAATTCAACAATTGAATTGTTTAAATTTCATGTAAAACATGATTTATTGATGTGGATCCCTCCTTGTATATATATA